AGAGCGTCGAGCAATCGTAGAGAATATACTCGATGGTCTCATCTTCTTGTTCGCACCCTCTGCAGAGTGCAGATTCTGACAGCCCCATGATAAGGAGATGCTTCCGTACTTGGCAATGAGCAGTCAGAATACCTGTGACTAGGCGCAGATTCTGTCTAGTCATAGTCAAGTATTTGTTTGCTGCAGTGTTGTCAGAATAACTTTAAAGCTCCCTGGCAACTCTGCAGTTCCTTGTTTCATCCCATCTTTCCTTGAATTTTACAAGGGAATGTTCTTTAATTAGGTCTGTTACTACCGATTGTGTCAGGCCAATAGAAGGGCCAGGTCCAAAAAATATTTGGTTGTCTGCTTTCTTGACCAATGAATCAGCAAGACGGTTACCTTTCGATGTGGCGTGACCTCTGATCCATCTTAAGGTGACCACGTTTAGACATTCTAGTACGAACCCTGAATAAATTCTGTTCAGGGTGAGTAGTGCTTATCTGCTATCTGTATAGATGAGCATGTTCCTTCCAGTGATATTGTTCCTGATGATTTCTTTTACTGCTATGAGAATATCCGTAAGAAAAACAGTAAAAGGAGACACAAGAGAAGCAAGAAAAACCGAAAAGGAACTTTGATGAGAAGCCGTAAATGTAAAGACTTAGAAAGGTGCAGAAAGAAGTTTACAGAAAAATTTGATGAGGAAGGAAAAAAAATATATAAATATTATTGGAGATTAGGAAGTTTCAACAGGAAGGTGGTGTTTACTTCAGGTTTGTTATTAAGAGAAGAAAATAAATCACAGAAGATTGGTACTATAAAAACAAGACAATTTAACTACAAATACCATTTTAATCTAAACGGAAATTTAATTGAAATTTGTAAATTTAAAAAAAACATTCGATTCGTCAAATAAATTTATTAAGATTTTTATAAAAAAGACTCATCTCAGGGATAATATTGGATGATAAGAGCGGTCATCATCCTCCAATGAACAAAATCGAAACTAAATTCCAATTCCAGCCTATTAGAGCCATTACTGTTGCTAGTGAACAGGAGATCGAAAATGTTTACCATCTTTTTATACTCTCACAAGGCTATATGAGGAATACAAAATTTGGATTTCGTCCCAAAGCCCTATCAGTAGAAAAGTTTACGAATTTATTTTTCATACAATGAAAATATTAATAAAAAAATACAGTAAAGATACCTGCTAAGAATGTAACAAAATGCAGTGTATGATAATAAATGCTAAAGGTCATCTAAAAACGTCCTGTCATTGCTGGAGCACCATCAGTAGCTGCTGACAAAATGTTGCAAATAGAGATTTCTTTCTTTTGAAACAATTTTGCATGGTATTATATAGATTCTCCCTTTGTATCAATTTCCAAATTTTTAGCAAATAACTCTTGAAAAATGTTTTCATCTTTTATAACTCGAACGTATATGAGTAGAGCTTCGTTATTTGGTAGAGTTGAATGGAAAATTTGCACGTCTTTAAGTGTTCACATAAAGATATTTCAACATCTTTTGCTATTTCATTAAATCTTCTTTGCACTGAATTATTTCGGAGGGGAAATTTTTTGATGATGTCTGACGGTGTTTTATGATAAGGAACAGTTTTTATTACCTCTTCGCCGGCAAAATTAATTCCACACCAATTGTGTGTGGTTTTCCAGCTTTAGCGATTAACAATGAAATGTTATCTTGTTTAGAAGATGGCGCAAAAAGGTTTAATACAGTTGGCTGTTTTATATATTGTTTTTCCAGTCCTTGAAAATGAGATAAAAATCATCATTATTATTATTCTTATCAGCATGTACTTTATTTAAATGCTCTTGTAGCCTAGAAGGTTTCATACCTTCATTTGAAAAAACTTTTAGGCAAATTAAGCACATAAAAAAAAAAACATTCTAGAGTTATCTCTTTTATATATTTGACTTTATATACGTATTAACTTTGTTTTGTTTGTGATGTTTGCGATGCCGGCGCACTTGCTCTATAAACAAGTCATTTCAAGTTACCACATTATTGTTCTTGTTGTATTGCATAAACTGAGTATTAACGTAAATGTTATAACAAGATAATTTACTTAGCTACATAAAATATTTATTTGTTAAATCAGGTATAGAATTTTATTATAATAATTTCCTAAATAGATTCCTTATAGGTACACAATATTTCAAAATATTTGAAAAACATTTTTTTTAATATTTCTAAAAGATTTATTTGAAATATGTATTAACTAGATTTTATAAAAAAACATTTTTTTATTGAAAAATAAATAATTTTAAATTTTGGTGGTGATAGGGTAGGAATCACCCCTCTTGATTGCCTTAACGCCGCCATTTTCTCTGGATCTGCTAGCGCCTTCATACAAAGTACCAGCGCCCCCGTTGAGAACCTATGGTCGAACGGTTCGAGTAGGTATAAGAATATTAGGTAAAATTAATCTAATAAGTGCAAAACTAACTGCTGTTATCACATTCTAATAATAGAGACTTGAAGTGTTTCCAGTACGTTAACGTAAACAAACGTGAACGTTAACGAACAAAAATAATGTTTACGATATAGTCCAAAATATGAGTTGAAGTCGTTAAGGCGGGTACAGATCTGAGCATGTACGCGTATGAGGCAAGGCGAGACCGAACCGAATGCCTCATGCGACGCATTTTGTATACACGAATGATGGACGCACGAGGGGCTATTCGTCACTGATCCAGTAAATTCGCGAGCACGCAACCGTATACCCAGAATATTCGTTAAATTAAAACAAAAATGAAGGATGAAGAGGACGTCGCGGAGTTGAGTGCATGGTTTATTATTTTATCCGACACAATAACGAAAAAAGAAGGGTAAGGAATCGATGGCCGATTTCGTGCCAAGGATATTCTTTTTTCATGGTGTTGTAATAGAACTGGCGTTTTGCTCTCTTAAGATATCACACTGATTATTTAAATTTAGGAGAAGCAAAACAATTTCCTGGTTTCACTCCATGCAAAGTAAATTCTAGAAACTCGCTATAATCTATACGGTGCTGTATAGTACAAATTCCCCGTCTAGACTGAGCACGTACTGTGCATTGCCTCCCTTTGATGTATCGCCAACAAACAGATCGAAGCGAGGCCGTACGGCGCACACAACGAGGCAATTTGCCGCGTCTCGGAAGCCCGTCCACATCTGCATGCTCATGCGTCCTCGGCTTGCCTAATACGCGTACGTGCTCAGATCTGTACCAGCGCATCGTGATATTTACACATACTTTGATTTTCTTTTACTATACGGAGAATGGTCGTACTGCGCAGCTTTCTGAGTGCCTTTTAAAACGAGATAGAAAACTCCGCCATTTTGATCCCTTATTACGTGTTGCCTACATCTTGGCGCAATATTTTTAATAGGTGCGTTTTAATCATACGCTTCTGCTTCGGAATTGTCGGTTTTCTTGTTTTATTCTGACAGGTTAAAACGACTAAACCGACAATTCCGGAAGCAGTTCTGAGGTATTTGGAACTGTGCAACATCTCTGCGAATAAATCATCCTTGATACACTTTTAGACACTTCGTTTTAATGTGAAAACGTGAACAGGATCCACACTTCTGATGTTAGAAGTTAAAAGAAATAACTTCAAAATTATTGTTTTTAAATGATTTATCACCCTGTATACTATAACGCCCTGTATAGCAACTTCATAAAACACGTGTTAACATGGTTTTATAACGTTTTATTAAATATCTCGTAAACAATGTTTAAAATGTAATTAATTAAGGAACAAAATAAAGAATGTCTTTAACGGTATATTGCCTATCACTTCATCGCGTTCTGCTGGTCGAAAGTCAAGTCCCCGCTCTCTCCTGGTCCTGGACACTGCAACAGGCAGACGTGGTACCATCGACCCCAGTGGCGGCGATATCCTAATTCGCTATCTCTAACAGGGCAGACGTGGTACCGTCGACCCCAGTGGCGGCGATATCCTAAATGATCTTTTTTGATCTCGTGTTTTTGACGGATTTTTACGTTTTGAGGTCCCTTCAATCCGTTTTGCCACATGTGTGTGTGCGTGCGTGCGTGCATGCGTACCTGTGTGGGTGCGTGTGTGTGCGTGTGTATTCTCGATAACTCATGAACGGATACAAAGAAAAACACCGAATTTTAAACTTACAGTAAAAGTTACTTACATTATTATTCTCTATAATTTTTGTTCAATACAAAATTTTCCTAAAATAGTCCGTATTCGAGAAATTTGACAAAATGAAAAAAAATATTTTTTTATAAAAATTGTTCAAATAAAAGTTGTTTCTAATATAATTCTTCATAATTCTTGTCCCATACCTATTTTCTCTAAAATGGACCGATTTCGAGATATTTGAGAAAAAGTGTTAAATTCCGAATTTTGAAGAAAACTCAAAAACAGATAAAGAAAAAAACATTAAATTTTAAACTTAAGCTTTATTCCGGCCTCTGGTGAAATGATTAGATTTTGGGCAGAGTCGGAACATCTGAGGGGGTACTTTATAGGAGCAGGTCCTTTCTATATTTTATGGAACATATCTGTTATTTATGTTTGGAAAAGAAAATTCTTCAAAGTTACTTCTAGTATTATCCTCTACACCGAGAAAACGTGGTCTATTAAACATGTTTAATAGAAAAAAATTTGATAACCACTAATAAATTACCTCATTTTTGCTTAATAGCAGTAATTAAACGAAGGTTGCTAGAAATCTATTAACCTGAAGCTGCTATAATTAGTTAATTGTTTAATAGCCAATAATGTATTAGTAAACAACTTTAATATCCATAAGTATTGTTGATTCTATTAAAGTTGTTTAATAATATTTATTAAACTCTTTAATACGTTTCTAATAATTGTTTAATAAATTAATAACCCTAAGTAAAGTTAACGGTTTTATCCCTTCCATCACATGCAAATATCACGGAAACTATAGCGGCAGCCACGAGCGACGATCATTTGCATCATATTTCTCATTTGAATATTGTGTCGTGTCGTGAGTCGTGACAACCTGTGCCTGTGGGTACCTTTACATAGCCTACATGTGCTTCTCCCATGTGCTTGTGCTTATATAGAAATCCTCCTGCGTGCCTTTAATCCCTAAATAATTTAAAGTAAATTATTATTTCTCCCATAAAAAGGACCATTGTTTGGGCAGTGCCAGTGGTACTTTAGCCGGTGGTGTATTCTAGTGCCGTGTTTTGTAAAATTGTGCCGTAAAATGGATTATACGGAAACTTTGAAAAATTGGGGATTAGAAAACTACACCCAAGAGTTTATTGGTAAGTGTATTTCGTCATTTATTTATGGTCAACTAAAATAACTTTTTTCTGATAAACAAATTATAATTTTCCTTAAAAATTAATAAAAAAATTAAAAATGCGTCATAAATGCCGGCAATCCAACTATCACATGGATCACAGGACACACACATGCGCATGCTCAATTAAACAGCCATATTTAATATTTTGATTCCATTATACGTAACTTCTATCTAACCTAACTTTTAACAAAAACAAACCATTCTGTAATTGAATTTGTCTTCGACGTTTTTTTTAGTTTTTTTACAATCTAGAAAATAATAGAAATAAAATGTTAATGAATACTTATTACCTCTATAAGTCTATATTATTATGGTGCATGGAACCAAAATTTGTCATCTCTAGTGTATATTCTGTCAAAATGTAATGATTAACAGTAATAATTTTAATGCAATGGAAGTAGTTTTTTACGTTAATACCTTGAAAAGTCCAAATTTAGTATTGATTTACAACAAAAGCACTAATCTAATTAGTGTGAGTTGAGTTTTATTCTTATTTTTACTTGTAAACTACAATAATTGTTATTGTATGTATTTGATTGAGATATTGGAATAAGAGTAATAAGGCTAAAACTGTGTCTAAAAGAGAAAATACATTGCATTCTACTGAAGTTTTAGGTAATTTAGTTAAATGAAAAAAAAAAAAAATTCATAATCTATAAATTATTTTTATAAAGTTTGTTGTAAAAAGTATAATATGTACCCATCGCCTAATTAAAGCATATTTCATTGCCGTTTTTATTTTTGTGTACCACTAACTTAATTTTTCCTTAGCTTTTAATACCATATTCTTTTTTCACTTTTTACTTTTATTTATGTGTGCTTATGTCAGGGGCGGATCCAGGATTTTTCTGAGAGGGGTGGGGCGATAATTTTCAAAAAACTGTTTTAATACAGAAAGTATACTACTATACTATTGTTTTGGTTTAAAATCATTTAAGTTGGAAGGTTGTTCAGGGGGGGGGGGGGCGAAACTACCTTCGCCCCCCCCCCCCCCCCCCCACCTAAATACGCCCTTGCCTTATGTATAGGTTACACTAGGTATCCTCGTATTTTCATTTTTTTATTTAATAATCATTATTGATATTTTAATATTGTTATAATTTTGTATTTCAGAACAGGGAATTACAGATGAGTCGTTCCCACTCATAGATGATGACACTATAAATATTATTTTCCAGAAAATTGGCCCTAAATTAATTTTCAAAAAGAAATTCCAGGAATATCTTTTAGAAAACAAGGTACTTATACACCTAGTAAAAACATACTTTTTAGATTCAGATTTCCTTTGACCTTATAGTAGATAATTGTGCAGGATATCTTATATACTTAATAATAATATTAGGTAATTCTTAATGTGATAATTTTTTAATTTCTTAGAAAATCATTTTTGAAGTAGAAGATGATGGCACATTCACATTTTCATCAACGCCAAAAAGTAGTGGCTTTGATGACAACAGTTTTGACAGCAGTACTGCTGATTTAATTAGGACCCTTGAGGGAAGCTGTAACGATGAGGCCAAAGATCTACCAACAACATCAACAGCAATTTATGTAGAAAATAAATCAAAAGTTTTGATTCCAGAGGTAGGTATATACTTATGGAGCTTGTTTTTTACTTTTTTAATTATATGCATTATTTAAGGCTTTAAAAGAAGATGCTACCCCACCTAGAAAAAAAATAAAAAGTAATGTTTTTTCCAGAGGTTAGTAAGCATGTTATTTTTCTTAATTTTTTTCTAAGTCTTACATTTCAGGGTTTGGAAAACATTTTAAATTCAACTGCAGAAGGCAGATTGGTCTTGATTCATAAAAGAAAATTGACAAATGACCTAAGACAGAAACTGGTCAAAATAGTAATTAATCATATTCTCATCAGTAGAGGATCTATAAGTAACGAGTAAGTGGGTTGTAATAATATTTTATTCTTCTCTCAATATTTTCATTGGCAAATGAAGATGAATAAAATGTAGTGGAAATTTTTTATCTTTAATTAATAGTCTGAACAATTTTTGATTAATTGGGATGTACCTTATATATTTGATAACTTTTAGATATTTATATCAAGAGCTAATGCATAATTTTTGAAATAAAACCTAAAAATGTACTAAGTAGATGTTAAATATTTTTATTATTGCATATTAGGAAAGGTACTGTTATTTGGATATTAATAGATTAAATAATAAAATGTTTTTTTATTTTTAGAAGAGGAACTCATGGAATGTGCAGAAGAAATAATAAAATTATTTCCTGGTGAAGAAATTGATACATATTATGTACCATATGCATCAAAAACAAAGTTGGGTCTCAGAGTTCCTGCTAGAGGTAAACTATGGTCCCGATATTTAAATATAAAAGCAGCCTTACGAGTAGCAAATCGCTCTCTTGTTCCAATGGCAAACTGTGATCAAGAAAATCTCAGTCGCAGCCCTCTTGAGGAGGAAAAAAAGGAATTGAACTTTTTAAAGTCTGCTGTAGAGCCATACATAAGAATAGTTCAGGCATGGGAAAATACATTCACTATTAGGACCCGGCTCTATAATAAGGAATCAACAACATCAACTTTATATGACATGTTTCCTTGTCTCAAATCTGCATTTGGGATTGAATTAGTAAGTTTTTATTCACATAAGTTTTATATAGTAAAAACTGAAAAAAGAATTTAAATAAGAAACATACAGGGTGGCGAAAATTAAACTAATTAAAGAGGTTTTAGTTAAACAAAACATATTTTTTTACTATATTTATAATGAGTCTTGAATAGAAAAATGTGTAAATCCTAATTGACAAAAGAACCAAAAGTAGATATAAAACAATTATTAAAATACTTCAAATTAAAGTTAAAATTGTATTTTAGCTCGAATCTGATTTCAATCAAACTTTTCCTGACAAAACGGACATTATATATGACCACTGGCCAGTAATAAGAGATGCAATTTTAAAGGAAGCAGGGGAGAGATCGGTAGAATTGACAAGGAGTGCCCCAGGTATGTATTTTAAATTGGATTGTTAATTGTCTTTATTTTAAATTTTGATTCAACTATTAAAACGCTTAAATTTAAATTTTGATCTTGTCTTAGTATATAAAAATAAATGTTTAAAATTTTAAATCTGAGTAAGTAAACAATATAAATATATACACCTAAGTATATACAAAAATTACAAAATAAAAAAATTTAAATGTATTTTTTAATATTTATTATTTTGATGTTATAGGTTTAATTAAAACACAGTCAATTGCAAGACGTTTATACCATGAGAATTTTAAGTTTATGTCATTTAAACAGTTAACAATATCAAGCCTAGTTAAAGTTTATCAGGATTATAAATTTTAATGAACATTCTTGCAACCAACTAAAATTATGTTTAGGGTTGTTTAATTACAAGATACTTGGTTTACACTAATTATACCTTTATTACGACTACTAAGTACAAACTAGAGAACAATTTGTTCTGGCAATGTCACAATATTGATAAATGATAATACTACTTAATTATTGTACCTAATGTAATATTACAATTAACAAAATTATCGTTTCAGACACACAGGCATTATTGGTTCTGCCACTTCTCTTTAATCCTGTGACCCTCAGAAAGAGTCCAAAATTAAACTGGAGACCCACAAGGCAGGAGATACAATGCAGCTTTTTTATTAAGATTCAGGTAACACCTGGTATGCATTTAATATATTTTTTCTACGATTACTATGAAACATGTCACGTATATTCTACAAAATCTCCTTTAAGTCTAAGTTATTATTTTCTTATGTCATGAAATAAACTAAAGGAATTCTCTATTCTCTGTACATGTACAATCACATTTTCTTACACAAATGTTATTTATTATAACTCTAACTCTAAATAGTTTATTATTGTTAAAGTGATTATAGAAAAAATATAGTGTGTAACAATACTATTCTGCAATACCATTAGAATTATATTTTATTAAGCCTTCTTTTTGTTTTAGGATTATAGTGAGCTAGAAGAGATTATACATCGTCGACACACAACATTAGTAAAATACAACTTGCCCTTGCAACCGTTTGGTATAGTTGTAGGCGATGTAGAACATCCAATTGAATTTGGTATTGTTTGTTTTGAACAGAAATATAAATGTGATTCCGCCATCAGGTGTTTGGAACTACTTTATAAAGCAATCCATGCTTTAAATTTGGAATACCCTCCAGAATCAAAGCATGTGTGGCATTTTATTCAAGAGATGGTGTTTCAAATGCCAATGAAAGCTAAATCAACTAGCACATCCAGTTTTATATCTGACATTAAATTTCACCTGAACCAGGTAGTATAATAACTATTGTATTAATTAGGCTGAAACTATTTTTTTATGTACTAGTTTAAGGTACTAACTAATGTTATATACATACTAACTTTAGAATTAATAATTTTAGTTTAATTTTTTTATCGTTAACTAAAAATATAAATCAGCTATATTTTGTTTTTGTTGTGAAAAGGTATTCTGAAATTTATCGGAATCATATATTTTTGTTATTTACATTTTTAAATTTAAGTTTAAGTTTAACTTATAAAAGTTTTTGATTTATTTGTTCCTTATTAGAATTTATATGGATTTTTATAACTTAAAGCATATAAAATGCCTTGTTGTAGTATTTGTAATAATGTTTACAGTGAAGTTAAATCTTTGATGACCCATTTAAAACTATTTCATGGTGTACAAGAAATGTCAGTATTTAAGTGTGCTGAATCAGATTGTACAAGGGATTTTTCTTCAGCAGCTTCATTTAAAAAACATTTAAAAACGCATACATTTAACGTATCAAATATTAAATCTAATTTCAAACAAGAAACTGATAATTTAAAATTACCCGTTAATCAAAATGTTGATAAAAATATTTGTGAGCCTGAAAACTTAGATACTTTCGAAAAAGATAGTAGCTCTGAGTTTAATAAATTCAAAATAACTTTGCGGAATAAAGGTGATTCAGTGATTACTAAGTTATATGGAGACTCTACTTTGAACCGAAAACTAGTCCAAACTGTAATAGATTCTGTACTTGATTTGATTTGTGAACCAATGGATCTTTTTAAACAAGATTTACTACGAATTTTGGGGAATGCTGAAGTTGACAATACTAAAAAGGGTCTTGTGAATGACTATTTTTTTGAATGGGATAGTGTTTTCATGGATTTAACTAGTGATTATTTGAGACAAAAGTATCTGGAAAAATTAGGCTTGTACATTAAATCAATTGAATATGTTACTGGAGAAAGGTTTGATTTGCTTCAAAATGATGTTCTCAAAGCAAAAGCATATTCTGCCCAATTTGTACCAATAAGCCCAATTCTTAAATTATTTTTGGAGTTGCCTTGTGTTTTTCCTGAAATTATTAAGTATATTAATGATCTTAAATGCATTTCAAATATATCTAATATCATCCAGACTGATTTTTGGAAAAATAAGTTAAAACATTTTCAACAAAGTGACCTTGTATTACCATTATTTCTTTATTTTGATGAATTTGAAATTGGTAATCCGTTAGGTTCCCATGCAGGAATACATAAAATCGGCGCAATTTATTGGTCAATACCCTGCATTCCTCCCAACTATCGTGCACATTTAGAAAATATTTTCTTAGTGCTCTTATTTCACAGCTCTGATTTGAAAGAATTTGGGAGTAATGCAATATTCTTGAAATTAGTAGAAGAACTTACAAACATACAGGAAAATGGAATAGTAATTGTTTCAGATCAGGACAAAATTAAAATTAAAGTTTCATTAACATTATGTCTAGGGGACAATTTAGGTTTAAATACATTGTTGGGATTCACAGAAAGTTTCAGGGCAAATTTTTTTTGTAGATTTTGCAAATCTCATCGAACTCAAACTCAGGAGATTGTTCTTCCAAACCATAATTTAATAAGAGATAAAGCAAATTATGAAACTGACATACAAGAAAACAATGCGAGTTCAACTGGAATTAAGGAAGCATGTGTATTTAATAAAATTCCCAATTTTCATGTTACAGAAAATTTCTGTGTTGATTTAGCTCATGACATTTTTGAAGGAGTGGCCTTATTTGATATTGTTGAATGGGGCATGTTCAAAAATTTTGAAATTTTTTTTATGAATAATAGAGTTGAAAATAAAATTACATTTTTTTTATTTTTTTTTTTATCTATTCATTTGCCGGAGTTATGAATTTTTTTAAAATTTATGACGTCACCGGGAATAGACCAATAGGAGCTAGCGCACAACGTTGCCGGCTAGAAGGTTTACGAGAAGTGATGTACGTTCGTTTGTGTACTCCTTCTTACTTTTAGACTTCTAAAACATCGTTAAACAAATATCTTTTAAATATATAATATCAAATGTTTTTTTAAAGTATTATTTCTGTTTAAACTTTTACCATATTTAAGGTTTCATTGTTTTAAAAGTCACTTAATAATTCAGAAAATGGCAAAATGGCAGCACTGTGTATGGCATCTGTCATCATAGTGTCTCCATCAAGAATTTATTTGGAATTTGATTGTTTAATTTTGTACTTTTTATAAATATTATGACTACGAAAAAGTGTTTTGTTCCAGAATGTGATAATGATTCACATTCATCTTCAAAAATATTTATTAGTGTTCCTAGAAATTTGGAAAGAAGAAAATCAACCTTCTACTAGCGATGTTTCTCGTGAACTTTTTAATAAAAATACACCGGATTATCAAGATGTAGTAGCAATTTCTGCTAATTGTCCCCTTCAGGAAATTGAAAATAAGGATACTATAAATTCTTAGGTGTATAACCTAAAAACCCTTCTGGAAGAAAATGCAGAATCGACTGAAAGTTTTGAAGATACCGAATTTATTCATCATTTTGTGGAAGAACTAGTGATAAAGAAATAATGGAAAAATGTGGGTATTTAAACAAACTGGTTCCTGGATCCCATATAATGGCAGATAGGGGTTTCAGAATAATCAGCTACTTGAAAACATGGGATACACTTTAGTAAAGCCACACCTAGTGTATCACAGAATGAAAAAACTTCTCAAGAAGATGTACAATTAAGTAAAAGAATAGCATCTCTAAGAATACATGTGGAAAGAGTTATAAGAAGGGTTAGTTAATTTAACATGTTAAAACCACATTCGTGTGTGAATTTTAAGCAAGTACATTTACTTAGTAATATCTGCATAATTGCTTGTTAACTTACAAGAACCTATTTTGTAAGAGTAAATATTAATTTAATAAACTTTTTTGTTTTTTAATTTAATTTACCTAATTATCACATTTCAGGGATTATAATGAGTTTTTAAACAGCCAATGTAATTTTTGATAAAAATTTAACTTTTCGAGCAAATTGAAGAGGAATGAGTACCTGTATATGCATAGATTTTTTTGGGACTGAAACTACCAAAACAAAGGCACCTATTTACAGCAGTTTAAAATGAAACATTTTAACAAAAACGCCTATGTCACAGTGATAAATATTAAAAACCAAGTTCAGTTGAATGTGGTAGCAAAGTCTATATATTCCAATAAATCGGGTAACTACATGTGGTATCACTGGTGATAAATTTAAAAATATCACAGTTCTTGCCACCTTTTTCAAAAAACCAGAAAGTGTGCCTTCTTATGAAAATGACAACAGTGATAAATGTGAAAAAAAAATTTCATGTTGCTATTCGTTATTACGATAGTAAAACATGTTTGCAGTTCCGTTTATTTTTTATGAAAATCTAAGTAAAAACAACCAATGTCAAAGGGTTTTAATTTTTTTTCTGTCAAACCAAATATATCACAAAATTAAAAATTGATCATAGGTCAAGCTAAAGTAATACCTTTATTAATAGTAGCTTTAAAAAAGGAGAAAGAATAATATTGACTTAAGTTATTATTATTAACATTGGTGATTTTTAATAAAAACTTCAATTATTGTTTACAAACAAAAATATAAAAATCTGTGAAAATTTTATTTATTAACCTTTTAATAAAAAATGAGAAAAATGAAGTAAAAAACAATTTATTTACAAATAAAAAATATATACAAATCCTAAGAATATAAAAGTACTGATTTATTTTCCTGTAGTGGATGAAGAGGTTTCTTTAACAATCTAGCCAAGTGTACATCATTATCAATAACACTGAGTAGATGTTACAGATGGTTCCTCACTTCTTCTATGAAGCCACATGTTTACCACCTCCTGAAAAAAATAAAAGGGTTAGATATGCAGTTACAAAATAACTATATAACCAGCTACAAAATGCCTTATTTTATGTAACAAGACGAGCACTTTACTAGCTCTGAACGAATCCAGTAAAGAACCTCTGATTTTCAAAACTTAAAAAAAACAAGCTCACCACATTTTCACATTTTTGAAATATTATAGAGCTTTTCGAAAAAACTGCTATTTTTAAAAGTACCATTTTTGTTTAAACAGCTATGTCTCATTTTAGGCTATTGAGTATTATAAAATAAAAAATTACGGGATGCTTTGTTAGCTTCAAACGAATCCAGCAGAGCACCCCAGTTTTTTTTTAAACCACACCACATTTTTTGGCTCCTACAATATTATAAAATATTCGAAATTTGACATTTTTAAAAAAAATTCGCAATTCCCTGACTTCAAAGTTTTTTTTCTGAAAACAAATATACTTACCACATTTTTAGGATTTTAAAACAGCCTAAACATGTGTCATAAGTAGTTGTTTTTATATATTAAAAAACTGAAGTGTCCTGCTGACTTTGTTCCAACAAAGCACCCTGTATTATTTAAAAATAGCAATTTTTTTAGTAAAGTTTTACAATATTTCAAGAGTCTAAAAATGGGGTGTGGTTTTTAGAAAAAAGCTTTAAAAAACCGAATTGCTCTGCTGGCTTCTTTCGAAGGTTAGCAAGCACCATGTATTTTTTAAAAATATAATATTTCAAGTGCATAAATATATGGTGTTGCTGTTTTTACAGAAAAAACTTTATAAAACAGAGGTGCTTTGCTGACTTCGTTCGAAGCTATCAGAGCATTTTAAGTTTTGCATAAAACGAGGAGCATAAAATTTTTGAAAAGGGTATAAAAATAGCCTAAAAATATGGCATGTTTTAACTCAAAATTTCATAGGTGCTCTGCAGCATTCTTTGGTATCATAATTATTACTAGGTTCACTAACAAAATCTATTTCTAGATTATTTTAACACTTGCTGCGATTACAAAAAATGTCTCTTTATGTCAAAATTAGAAAAAAAATATTTATAAGAATAAAGGGCCTTATACACTGTTTATTATATGTGATATAAAAACAAAAAAGCATAATAAATATTACAAACCTTGAGATTCAACATATCCTAAGCATTGTGCACTAAAAAACAGCCACATCATAAGGTTTTTGCTGTACTTTATGTTTAGGTGTAATTTGTCTCCTTCTCTCTTATGGAAAAAGTAAATATCTCCATATTCTTGCTTGGCAGATCTAAAAATAAAACCTGAGATAAATATGTTTTACTATAAAGTGTACTGCTTCATATAAACTGTAACTACCTACCATTAAAACAATTTATAAATAAAGTTTTACCTTTCTATCTTTTGGAAACTGAGTATTGTTAAAAAATGCAGTAATCATCTCGGTAATCATATTTTCGTTTACAATGGGAAAAATACTTGATTCAACTTTTATAAATACAGCTGATAAATTCATATTCTTCTTCCTTTATATATCCTATATCCCACAGGATAATTTACCCAGATAAATGCAGATTAATAATAAAATTAAACCAAAACAAAAAACTAAGGTTAGTTGTTAGGTGCTGTCAATTTTTAAATGTCACTTAGATGTGCGTTCACTTCGACATTCTGTATGTAGGTTTGTTCGTTGGCTTGGTTTTGTAAAACAAAAAAAACTTCGACACAAGCTGATTGGTCTATTCCCGATGACGTATAATTTCAAATTTTAAATTTCAATTGGGCTTAATTTAAAAACTTTTAGCTTTTTTAACGAACTGATTATTTAGAATAACTTGTATAGCGACTAACTATTACAATATAGTTTATAAAACAGCATATCTCACATGTGAACATGGCCCATTATTGTATCATTTTGTATTAGAGAAAAAATTATTTAATATAGATGACGTAAATTTATCTTTAAAGTGTTTCAACTTTGGAAACAAAGTTAATAAGCCACCTTTGATCACTCTTGAAAATCTAAAAAAACGTAAAATGAATATGTCATTTTCTGAAATGAAATGCTTTGTTCTTTATTTTGGACTACTTTTTGGAACATTTGTGCCAGAACAAAATCGCTTTTGGAAGGTCTATATATTATTACGAGAAATTTTAGAAATAGTGTTGGCAACTGAGTCTTCAGAGGGTGCCTCTAAAATTCTAGAAAATGTAATTAAAGAGCATCATGAATTATACAAAAATCTTTTTCAAAAACCACTAAAACCAAAGCATCATATTCTGCTTCATTATCCCTATATAATACAAAAAGTTGGACCTGTTATAAATTTATCAACTCTTAGATTTGAATCAAAACATAAAGAGTTTAAAGTTTCTGCTAATGTGGTGTCTTCTAGAGTAAATATAACTCAGACATTAGCAACAAAAAATCAGCTAAAATGATGTCACCGGTTCAAAGAGAAGAAAGGTTTTTGCAGTGATATTTATTTTAATAAAAAAAATAGCTCGTTCGGACATATTCATGCATTACCTGAATTTCATAATATTGATTTTGAAAATATAATTGTAGAAGATTTTCAACAAGTATATTTGTGTAACCAGGTCAACCTGGGACATCTGATTTATAAGTTACAAGATCTAATAATGATTAATAGAACAAATCTACCAATTTTTGGAGAAATTACTGGTATTTTAATTAATACTTGCAATGAAATTTGTTTAATTTACAGAATGTATCAAACTATTAAATTTGATAAGCATTTCGGTGCATATGAAGTGCTTTGTTTAAATACACTAAAATCCGTTTTACAATCTGATATCCAACATACTAGTGAACATTTTATTATTAGTAATGTAAGAAACAGAAAATTTATAGCAATGTTTTAAGTTTTAAAAGGACTTTTCTATGAAGTTCATCAGACTAAAATTGATAAATGTATGTATTTGAACTGCTTTTTTAAATGCACTATGTACTTACACATTTTGTGGTTAGTAATGTAAGAAACAGTCGCGCATGAATTGATCAATTAACTGATGAATGTTTTCCACGGCCCTTATTTAGGGTCCATTTCATATGTAACTGCTCCTATAACAATTTTTTTTTTTTCGAATTCTCTAGTGACTCAATAAATTATTCAAAAATATTTACATTTTTTCATTTTTCTTACTCATCCTTGGTTTATTTTTAAAATATGATGCAGAAATACGTTTCATAGAAGATCAACTTGTTTTGTGTTTTTAACGTTTTGCAAATCTCTCTTTCTAACTAATATGAAGTAGGTATATCCATATGCAAACTTTTAGCAATACTCCACTTTTAAAGTTTTATTTGATAAAGGTTAAATATGTAATCCTCTGGAGCCACTTTTTTAAAATTTGATCTAGTTTATTTTCTAAAAAAATTGAAAAAATCGCTAAAAAATAAGTTTTTAGAGATGTTTTTCATTAAAACTAAAAAGTGGTAACGCATATTTAACCTATATGCACGTATTTACTTTAAGTGTGTGGTACTATCAAAAGTTTGCATATGGCTATATTACCTATTGTAGTTAAATATATACAATGGCTAATTTTTGGAGGGGGGGGGGGTATTTTTCTGGACGACTTCTATAAAACTATTTAAT